CCCCAGTCCCTCCACGGAGAATTACTGAAGGTTGGCAACGTATCAGTATACAGACACAGACTTTAGCTCCAAACATTTCGAATTCGCACTGACCTTAAGCAGGGAGACATTCTTGTGCGAATCACTTCATGTGACTGTCATTTGTGATTTGTTTACACAACAAAAGGTTGTTAAACGACTGTGATTTGTACACCTTTCCCTTTTCTCACTGGAGTGAGTTTGTGTTCACCCTAATCTCGGAGACAATCTACCCCCATCTATAGTCCTTCTGTATCAAAACTATCGGGAATCGTATTTGCACTGCACAACACAACAATGTGATTGATGCTCTCCTCTCAGGGGGCTTTGTTGTGTCTCTTATCGACTTCTAAAATGTCAGAGGAGGTTGATCTTTTATTCACCATAGAAATTGCTGTGCTGACCAACAAGGAACACTGAACAGCTGTTTTGTCAGAGATTTGTGCTTTTACGTCTTGTTGACAAGCCTTACCAAAGAAAAAAGATTTCTCAGTGTCCAGTCAATCACTTTATCAACCCAAGTCTTTGGATTATGACCCTCAGTGGGATTCAAACCCATGCATGGACCTTGTATACGGCTTTGATTGGTGCCCTACTGGCTGATCTACAAGACCACATCAGCAGCTCTGATCTCTCCACATTCGACTATCCGTGAAACATACAGAGTCATTGTTCGTGGTTTCGAATACAACCTAGGTTCCTGCTGTTTCCACAATTCAAGCACGGCTCAAATTCATCTGATTATCTGGCAAGCATCACCATCTTTACCACACAGGTCTGTCGAATTGGATATTGATGACCAGTTAAATCTTCGGGTGAACTATGCCACATATGATGGCAATTTTTCTCCTCTCCTGTGACCTGATGGTAAAGGAACTAAAACAATGATTCTTCAGCTGCTACTTCATCGTCATGTGCAGTGCAGATTGCCTGTGCAGTCAATTGAAAAGGTTTTGGATCGTGCTTATTTGCAGTTTAACTGAGAACGAGAGTAAAAAAAACGAAAAAAGATTAATGAATGCACAATACACTACACTCCTCATGCATGAAATGTACTGGCCGAATGTTTTGAAATCATCCAATCATCGATTTTCACAGTTTGCCAAAATTGTGCTTATCTCGATATTTGTACGCATGCTCCATGATCTGTTTCATTGTACAAACTGCTGCTGCCTTGTCCTCGTCTTTGATCAGGCGCGAATGGTTGCCAAGTTGACCGAGTCCGAAGTACGCTGCATGCTTATCGGTTGTCATAGTTTCATCGCCTTTCCTCTGTGCATCAGTTGCGTTCCTTCTCCCGCACCACGCTCCCCCCCCCCACCGATCTCTTTCAGTTTCATCCCTGTGGGTGTTTTTCTGTTTACGTCGTAACCCATAGACATCACCTTCCCCATTTTTAGTAGTGTTCGATTTTCACTTTTTCGGGTAGTCTCTTTTGCTGGTCTTTTTCGATCATCGCATTAATTCTTTGGCACGATTCGTATCATAGCGTTTACAGTTAACCTAAACCTCAATCAATCTGCCTCCAGAGTGACCCCGATATCCCGCGGTTTCATTTTCTATGATTTATCGCCGGTGTTTCGAGACCGGTTCCAGTTCGGCTTAATTGCTGTGTTTTGCTATCTGTATTCAAGTTAAGAGCCATTCAGTAACGTTAGCGCATTCTATGTAACAAATCTTGAGTGGATACACGATTAGGAGGGTGAGCGGCAGCGCTTCTGGTGTTGTGTTTGTCGTGACACCTGATAAGTAATGAGTAAGCTCATCGACTTCCGATCCAATTCATTTCGGCTCTACTCGACCACGTTTCTCTGACTCTCATCCATAGAAGCAATCCCCGAGCTTCTTACTTTACAACACACACGAACGGTTTGTTTCTTGCATATGAAAACGGTAGATACGTTCATTGCTGCCTGATGTCCCTCGCATACCAAAGAATTGAAATTAGCACATTACTGTCCCGTCATTATAGTTGGTCCATTAATCATTAAATTTGACCCCGCAGTGACCAAAGGATACAGTAAACTTCTATCAAAAACCTCGCGCCAAACTAGTTTCTGCGATGTTCACACATTCACATGTTGGTTACTATTGTTGATCGTTTGCCTGACCAAAGATTGACAACCACCGAAATGGTTGCCTAACTGGCAAACCTACTGATCATGTTCACTAATTCAAAAGGTATTTTTGTGTGGTCCCCGCCAACCGTTTCCAGGACAAGGGAGTATAACGTAGCCTGCACTAGACTTTCTCGTCCAACAACTGATTACACGTTATTTGCTACCGGATTCTCCAATCTTACACGGATGGCATTAATACATCCCGTTTTAACTATGACTATGTCATACACAACCCCACACCATATCCCATAAGCCAGAACCACGCGCACGCGGACCCCTATACGCATGTTCTGTTTGTCTGTTCTAACCACTCCGCTAACAACTCAATCCAGTGACGGAAAACCCACCACGGTCGTGTCGTTCTTTTTGAGCTAACAAACTTCTGAACTACATTTCGAAGCAAGTGCATAAATAGATGTGCACACGTATGGGTTCGGCGCGTCCGAGGACTATCGAAATAAACCTGATTGATTGTTTTCTCGTGAAATACGAGAATTTGGCAATAAAAATGAACTGACTGTATTCCCTAGTCCAATGAACTTGGATCAGATTGTTGGTTGGTAGGTCGAGAAACAGCTGTTCCATTTCTGCGATCCACAGACACAAGTATAGTGCACAGAATGCTTTTAGCACTCCCCCCACCCACCCGTCGATTTTTGTGCGATTTCTCGTCAACGGGTACATGTAGGATCACGGAACGGACTGCGTCTATGGGTTCTCTCGCCATCATATTGGGTTCATATACTGATTTACACGTTTGCTTGATCAAATTTGTCCCTATCCAAAATAATGTATCCGAGGAATGCACATCCCCTAAACTCGAACCAAAAGTGCATGCCACAGCTAAATGGCTGACCAGGAATAGTCGCACATAGAGGCTGTCTGGAAGACGCTCCTTTATATGTAATTGAGCAAATTTAATGTACACGAAGCTCATAGTTCTGAGTTGAACCCTCAGTAAGAATTTGTGTGGGATTTTCTGACGAGACGAGTGAGTTTGCAGCTGCTATGCAGGAATTCACGTCTAATTTACTCGATGATTTTCAGAAATTCCAGACAGAAACGACTCGATATCTTATTTTAGGTGTTTATGAACGAGGTTTTTACAGTTGTATCTGAAGGCTAGAAGGTGGTTTTCTACTCATTATCAGTCCATAGCCGGCGGAGGGGGGAAGGGAGGTGCTGTGCGCGCAAGCTGCAAGCATTGCGTCCACTTCACCCGGTCTCGCCTATTGAGCCACTATGTGCCCTATCTTTTTGCAAACAGTTTGTTGCTCTCAGTCACAGAACCCAGATGTTAACTTCCCTTGAAATTTGGCACGATTCCCGCCAATAACTCAAGAACTCGATTCAATTGACTTTTTATATGTGAATTGGGGTTGATTGCACGTATAAAGATTATGCAGTTGTGAATGGTACTGACCCCCTCCGAAAACAGGCCACTTGGACAAACGGACATTTATTCTTTATGCGTCTCTCTCTTTATAAACATAGATATATATCACCGGTTTCCGGGTATGCTTAGTGCCAACTCAACAACAGGAATACCAGAACATGGGGCTTATGGTATAAAACAGAGCGAGAAAGGGATCAGACAGTTTTAGTGAAAAAGGAGAATAACAATTTTTGTTTGTTTCACCGTACATGTTTTGATATTTGTGTATTGGTTTATCGTTTTTCATGGGGCACGGGATTTCAACAGGCCCACCGTACAGCATTCGCGTCACTGAATTCTATTCTGGTCCATATCTCTCAGCGTTTCTAGCCAACGATAATCCCCATCTCTTGGGCCCAAACCCTGAAGGCGGGCTGCACTAACCGAAGCCAAAGCTGAGGCCAGTTTTTCATACCCCCACGTCATATCATGGTCTGACCGCCGATGTGCTTCCAGTTTTTCCCAGCACTTGCAAAGAACACGGAAAGGTAGCCGATAGGCAGGTATACGTAATACGTGACCAAGCCATCGGAGGCGGTGTAGAGCGATTAATTCTGTTAGAGAACGACTATCCGCACCCAGTACACGACGACGAACCTCGTCATTACTCATCCGGTGTTCCCACCAGACACGAGCACTGCTTCGGAGACATCAGTGGTCGAATACAGAAAGTCCATTTTGCATCCTCACGGCGCTTTATGACGTCCCAAGGCTTGGGTATCCTTAGGGATTTTAAACTTTGAAGTTGGGTCTTCTAAGTCAGACCATGGGACGTGTGTCGGAATAGCTGTGAGAGAAACTGACGCTGGTGGACAGCTAAGCTGTGCTTGGAAGTGCATCGCCCAGTGTGCAAGGCGTCTGTTGATTTTGAATAAGCAAGCTTTCAGCTTCGTAGATCATTTCACTCGCATCTAAAGCTTTCTTACCGATAACTCGGATAACATGAAACAGCGTATGGGTGTTTCCCATGGCCGCAGCACGTTCCATCTCTGAGTGGCGTTGAATCCCCCAGATTTTGCTATCTCTGCGTAGGCTTGCGTTGAGGTTACGAGTCTTATTTCACCAACGGTTGGGATTGATCGACATGCTTCGAGAAGGCGTAGAGACTCCGCAGAAATCCAGATTGTCGCGGCACGATGTGTCAGACCACAACTAACTAAGCCAGCAGAATTCTGAGCTTCCTTGATAGGCCATCAGTGCTGAATAATGTCATAAGGTGGAGTTTGTTCTAGGTTTCCAGCTAGCGCGTTTTCAAATTCAGTTATATGAGCTGATTCGGACAGCATATCACAGTCTAACTGTCGTTGTGTCGTGCTTTTAGAACTTCCACCGAATTACATGAACAACTTGGCACAAACTAATGCGTGATTAGATTCAAGGAGAGTGCTCCGACGCGGTCGGCAGTCTTGTATACAGCCCCGTCATTTGTAGCTTATAGCGATATGATTGATTGGCATTCATCGCTGGTTCGAGGAGGGCGGACGCTCAGTGGCGTACCGGTAGTGGGAACGTGTGTAGTTTGTACTGGTGAGGAATAGACAGATGGTGGTTGAGACACAAAGCCAACGGCTGTTTCCCCGTTTTGTTCTTCCTTCTCTAGTTTGTGTCCAGTGTTTATTAATTTATGGTATATATTAAACCCTACAGCTATGACTAGCATAGGGACGACCCAAATTCAATGAAGATCCCCTCAGCGCTTCCTCTATTTATCTGGTTTAATTGATCTGTGAGTCTGTGGTATCCAATCCAATTAGTAACAGGTAGAATTTTTTGTCTACCTGAACCAATTTTCAATAACATTATTTTAGAACTTAGTACAGTTCGATCTAGAATCAGTAGCTATTGGTTTATTTCACAGCAATCAGAAACCGTTTGCTCTCGTTACCCGACTTTACAGTCATTAGGAGTGTCGCAACAATGTCGACCGCAGTAGTTTTATGCGTGCGCGCGCGCACACACACATACAGGTCAGGAGGCCGTCAATTACAGTTGAACTTTGATTCGCCACTGTGATCTCATTTTGAGAAACAGTATGTCTATCAGCCAAACGGACAAATTCGCGCGCGGAATATGGGGTGTCAAATCGTAGACTCACATTGA